TTTGAAGACGAGCAGTACAATCTTGCAGAGTGAACTTTTTTAAATCATAAATTTCATTGCTCTAAAATATTTTTACGTTAATTCCATTTTTACTAAAGATGACGAACTTCTAATTGTGATAAAACCATTTGACATGCAACTTTCCACCAAAAACTATTATCATATATTAAGTTGTACATTATATAGTTGGCGGTTTATACGGTTGGCTGTTTCAGCTCCGTGTTTTGGAAAGCACGTAAAGCCATTGGCCCTGCATCTGATCTTTCTCCGGCTGTGTTGAATTGCCATCCCACCGGACTATGAGAGTGAGGGGTCCGTTACGCAGGTGGAGTTGAAAGCCGTGGAGAAAGGCGTGTCTTGTGTTCCTAATGCAGAAGTCTTCCCCCGAAAAGAGGCTGCCATGGGCAGACCAGCGCTGGTGGGGCCGCAGATGCGTGCGAAACCGTTCCCGTGGCCCTGCCACTATGCGGCGAAGGTAGAACACCATGAGGTTTTCCGACATAACCCGTCTTTGCGGGTATGCTTAGGCATTTTAGGAATTTTAGGAAAAATCGCCGGTTCATTCCACAAAGAAGTATTTCGAGAAAGAAAACTAGTAAATCGCACACTCATGGTGGACCGCCAAGGATCCAGATGTGGTTGATACCGTGAGTTTTGTTCCTATGTGCGTTGGAGGAATTTGCCTGGAATAAATCCGAACAATTTGTCTAAATACCTCCTGTAGAAAATGCAATATAAAATGCAATGGGATGCAACGCCTCTTCGCAGCGACGATTCAAGCCACTCTTCTCTGGATGCGGTCAAGTGGAAGGAGCTGGCAATTGGGGTGGCCCAGTCCAGAGATGAGAATAGTATTCCGTCTCGGCGTGTACCGGCATGAAATACTGTCCCGCTCAGCTGATCATGCCAAGCTTTTTAGAGGACAATTTAGGCTTCCTTTCCAAGTGACCGCGGAACTGTACGTCATTCGATACTGGAGATTTTGATGCTGGCTGAGGCAGCTTGAGGAGTGCCCTTAAATTAGCTTTTCGGGTAGGTGTGAAAAATAATAAATTGAGGAGATACGACATAGGGGTTCTTTTTAGCGGTAAACGCGCAAGTCTTCTTAAGTTTAACCTGCACTAGAGTTGTCCCCAATCCGACTTTGTTAAAGACTAGTTTTAGACTACAGACACAAGTTTGTTCCAATAATCGACGACGTGTTCCCGATAAATATTAACATGGTCGGTGTAAAAAAAACCGGCCAAGTGCGAGTCGGACTCGCGCATCGAAGGTTCCGAATAAATCCGTAGGTATATAAGTTTAAACTTATTAAAAATATTTTTATTATATGATGTAACTAAAAATTCATGATTTTCGCATTTTTTACCAAATTATAATATTCTGAGTTCACGGGAAGTATCCTATAGGTTTTGATTCCCTTGCGAATGTCGAAAATTTGCGGCATAAACGGCTGTATCTTTTGATTGAGTTGGCTTAGAGGTTTGATTTTTTCACAGCTCCAAGAGACAGTAGATTTGAGTATTTGTTATAAATTTCAGCTTGACACCTCCACGCGTTCCTGAGAAAAATGGTCTTGACAGACAGACAGACAGAGAGACGGACGGACAACAAAGTGATCCTATAAGGGTTTCGTTTTTTCCTTTTGAGGTACAGAACCCTAAATAACATCACCATTAATACAACCAGTAACAGCAACATATAATTTATATACAGAAGAAACAGCGTACAGCACAGCGCACGCAGCCTTGTGGAACACTAGCATTAATAAGCTCGTAGTCGGATTACGCTCCGTCTACTACGAGCTCCTTGATGCTCCGATCTGATGAAAATTGATGATACAATTTTCCAATTTCTCGGGAAGCCAGGAAGGAAGGAAGCTTCTAAAGAAGCGCTTTGTATCAAAGCCTATTGAAGGCCATGGCTATGTCCAAAGTAACGACCAATCTACTGATTCCGCTTATCTATGAGTCAAGTAAATTAGAAGGTTAGAACTAAAAACAGCTGATTAGTGACCACATATGTGGTCACTAACAATAATCAGCTGGTGGTCCTCAAAGTACTTTTATGAGCTGGCAGTTTAAAATGGAATCCATTATTTTGGAGAACAACGTTCAGTTAGGCCGTTAAGTTGGTCGGGTCTGATTGGTCACCTTTCTAGGGATCCAGTGAACTAAAGTTGTCTTTCATATGTTCAGGATTACGCATAGAGAGTAGGAGTACCGGAAAAGATCAATTCCCAATGTCATTAGAACTAGTGCTAACTCCGGAACACCCGTCTTTAGCACAATAGGAGGGACTCCATCATTCCCACTCGACTTGTTTTCGTCCAGGGAGAGGAATGCTTTGCACACAGAGCACTGTATAAACTGCACATTCAGCATTGAGCAATCACACCTGGATGGTCGGCGGTGTATACCCCCATCATCGAAAGACGAGTTAGACTCAAAAAAAGAACCTAAACGATCGACTTTCCTCCTTTGTGGCATGGGCTAGTGAATTGTTCTCCCTGTGCAGAGATGGAACAGATGGAAGACAAAAGTTTCCTTGAACAACCTTGGCAAAACCAAAATTAAAAATTATTTATTGAGAATATTATATCAAATTTTATTCTGTACATAAGTGGTGCTTGCAAAAGCAAGGTCTGCCTCACCTCGAAACTTGCGCTCTAGGCTTCAACTTTGTTAGCCTGTGGGTGAATCAGGCCCTTCAGATAGCTAGTCTCCGTTACGACCTTAATCGAATTTCGATATGGAGGACATTATTACGGGTTTATATCCGACCATCTCGGTATTAGATTCTCTGTATTCTTTTTACTTATTTTTAAAAAACACATCAACACTGGCCACTTTAAAATATTTTTATATCAAATAAGGTACGTGAGGGTAATATGTTCACCTTAAGCTTTGCTGCCTTATAAAACCAAAACTAGGAGGAGGACATAGACAAATACACAATATCGTATACTATAACTAATATAGAAAAAAATAACAAACAAGCTTTGGCAATAATTAGCAACACTTCGAAAAATCAACTTAATAAAAACTAACTATAGTACGTGAGGGTAATATGGTCATCCGGTTAATATGGTCATTTTCTTATAACTCAAATACTACAGTGTCGTTTGCATAGAACGCTCTGTGAAACGATAGCTATTGATCTGTCTATCAAATAATAAAGGGTCAAAAACGGGCTCCTTTATCAACGCCATTTTGACAGTTGATATTATTGTAAATATTTTAGTCGATTTTTGTATTGTGTCACTACACAATACAAAAATATAGTTTTTTTTAAGTAGATTTTTCGAAGTGTTCCTAATTATTTGCAAAGCTTGTCTGCTGTCTTTTTTCTTAATATATCCCCTGGTGTTGCAGTTTTTCATGGGCGGCGGTAGTCACTTACCATCAGGTGAGCCGCATGCTCGTTTGCCCCCTCTCCTATAAAAAAAAATATTAGTTATAGTATACGACTTTGTGTTTTTGTCTATTCTCCTCGTAGTTTTGGTTTTATAGGGCGATAAAGCTTAAGGCGACCATATTACCCTCACGTACTTACTATAATATCAACTGTCAAAATGGCGTCAGTAAAGCGGCGGCCTTTTGACCCTTTATTATTTGAACAAATGATGAAGAGCTATCGTATCACACAGCCATCTATGCAAATTAGGCTGTAGTTTTTGAGTTATAAGATAGTGACAATATTAACCGGATGACCATATTACCCTCACGTCCTCTAGTTTGTCATTTACTCAAATTGATTCCAAATTAAAATAAAAGAAAAAATAAAATGTGTTGGCGGTAAAAATTGAGTTCAACTACAGGGAGCAAATTGTGTATTCAGAGTAATTGTTTTTTTTTTTTTGTTGAATACCGCTAATTAAACATCTTTTTGATTCAACTTGGGTTGATTGTGATAATTTGAAATTTTATTGCAATACAACGTCGACATTTAACTGGAGAAGAGATGTTAAGAGTAGTGGGAATGCTGCAGGCTGGTGCTTTTCAGCGTGACGTCGATGCGGCAATAGTCACCAGGCAAAAAGTGATTTCAAGGTTGTGGTCACGCTATCGTGCCACGGGGGAGGTGGCGAAGAGACATCCAAGACCAAGCCACATTAATACACCCAGACAAGACCGTTTTCTGCAAATTGCTGCGGGAAGGCAACCAAATGCTACGGCGATGCAATTGGTCTAAAGACTACAGTCTACATCAGCTGATTGTCAGTGACCAAATTGTGAGGAGGAGACTACACGAAGCCGTGAAGGTTTGCTCCTAGACTGGCTCGTATACCACTTCGAGTTCCAGCTCTAAGAAGAGGAAATTGTGGACGAAGACTGAACATGTAAACTTGCAACCTCATCAATGGTCGTTGGTGCTTTTCACTGATGAATTCCGATTTGATTTTCATCCTGATTCGTAGAGAGTACGTGTTTGGAAAGTTTCCAGTCGTACAAGCCGGCTTCGACAACCTCAGGAAGTTCATCCATACCAAGGCTTCCTGAACAATTACAGTGTGGGCAGGAATTCGTTTTGATGGAAGAACGGACTTCATTTGGATACAGAGCACCAAGTAGTGTATTCCAGGTGGGTGATGGTAATATTATTTTTGCGCATGAGAAAAGAAAGTAGAGTGACGTGAATGAACTCGATCGACACGTCCGGAGTCTACAGAGCCCAAGCGCAGTAAAACGAAACGTCACTAAAACCATAGAATAAATAATCAAACAGCAATAAAGTATAAATAAATAAACATTTATCAGCATGGGCTTAGTCTTCTTTTTAAATTTTATACTTAGTGATGAAATTGACATTTTAGACATGAAATTTAAAGAGACTTAGCGCTCTCTGGCCAGTTTACTTTGAGACTAGTATGTTGAAATTCTGTGGTTTTTTTTATAGGATAAGGGTGAGAAACTAGCACACAGTAAACCGGATGGCAAATGTATGCAGTGGTGCATAGCCATCTATATCTATCAAGTCTGTGTGAAGGCCGTTGTTACCTGGGCTGCCAGGGATCCGCGTTCTTCTTGAGCAGCTTCCTGGCGGTGCGCTGCTTCTCCTCGAGGCGCGTCTTCTCGGCGGCGGCCGCGTCGATGTCGCCCTGCTCCAGCAGGCGCACGTCCGGCCGCAGCCGGCTGTCCGTCGGGCACAGCTGCCCCTTCATGTCGCGCTCCAGCTCGTTCAGCGACATCGCGAACTCCGTGAACTGGTAATACTGATATGACACAAATAAATTTATAAATTAAATGGGACTTTTGGCGGGAAAATGACCGCCAGTGGATGGCCGGTTTTATAAATGAATAAAAGTGACAAACGAGCATACAGTCCACCTGATGGTAAGTAGTGGCCCATAGACAATTACATTTGTCTTCGATTAAGAATCAAAATGCAGATGCGTGTTCACCCCTGAGATCTGAGATGGAATGCCCCGCTTCCAAAAAAAAGGGTTTCCGGTTCTCAGCACTCACCATAGGAAACACAGCAGCATTAAGCTGCTAGTTTACGTTGGTATTCTGTGAGAGCGTGGTCCTTCCCCGGTCTAGCCGAGCCAACCATAATATAGCTACAGCGTGGCTCTACCACGTATAACGAGGTTGATTTTCGTAAATCCATCTCGTTATACTACTTACTACTATCGTTAGTAGACAGCGATTTATTATGATAAAATCGACTTTTACTAGAAGCGGTATCCATTTACCAAGGCGATATCCATTTCGAGCACGATCCATTCGGAACACGCGCTAGTGTTCGACCATTTGGAGCGCATAATCGATACGCGGCTTTAATTTAACAAATAACTTTTTTTTAATTTCTTACATGTAATTAGTTTGTTTTTACGGAGTTTATCATGTTAATTATATTAAATATGGATTAACCTACTACAAACCAAAAACTAAAATATTTTTAAAAAAAGCTTACTAATTTGTAAAAGTTGCTGTTGGCTGTATGTACACGTATCCTTCTAGTTTAACCGGCTTTAGGAGGGGAACTGTTTTTAATTTATGTAACACAATAATCTCAGTTTCAGATTTTCATAACATTACAATGTTTCTTTAATACTTTTTCAAATATTTCACTTTACCAAATATTGTAACCGGACTAATATGTCACCTGAGCACTGTTGCTGGGCCGCGGTCGTGCTTCCCACAATGTAGTCGATCCTGGAATGTCTATATTATAAGACTCGTCGGGCTTGGGCACGTCTTCAGAATTTTCTGCGTCATCGGTCTGCAAAATTGAAACTTCGAAAATTAAAACAAGGCCGTTAAAAAGTGTTTTCTGTTAATGTTGAACTACGACGTTTTCCAAAATATTTCTGGTAGCTGGCATTCACAAGAAGATGATCATCACCATGATTGCAGTCAGTCACAATGACCTTACCTACATGTTATCAAAAAACCCAGTCCTGATACCAGCATTCTTCATTTTATTTAATGTATTTCGCCGTTAAAATAGACTGTATTAAATGCAAATAATAAATTTCGACCACAAGCAAATCCGCTTTGATCACTAGTTAGAAAAAGCTCTCAAATAACCATATACTTGTGCAGTATCCATATAACATAATAGAGACTGACTTCAGCGTTAAGCAATCCAATCATCTGGTACTACAATCGATACAATTAATCCGCATTTTATTTATATGGCCACCCTGGTGGCAACATCTAAAAGTAACTCAAAAATAATTAAAAAAACTTTAATATTGTAAATTAATAATATCCAACTCAAATTTATGTTTAATTGTTACTTACATTCAGTCTACATTGTGATGAATAAATATTTTAATATACATCTTTATGTTGGAATAAAAAAAATACCAGCAGCTAACGAACATCTTTTAAAAATATTTCAATTATTATTTCTTATCATTCCTTTGTTTTCGGATTTTCGAATTATTCTCATGATAATTACATTTGAGATTAGCAATATTATACAAGTGGCAAAATTTTGTACAACCGACTTCAATATATTAAATAAAATGAGAACATCATCAAGGCAGTCGAAGTCAATTAAATACGCATTATTAAGTAACTCAACTTAACTCACAAACTCAACAACTACTGGTCAGATCTTGATCAAATTTATATGGGACTACATGAGAAGCACCAGCTTTCAAATAAAAAGACAATCATCACATAAAAAAAGTACTGAGGTAACAAACATAAAAAATACCGTCGAATTGAGTGCCTTTTTTTGAAGTCTATAATTGAAGAATATAATTGCCAAAAACAATTAAATAGGGATATATTTAAGCTACCCATAGTACTAATACTATTATCTATTCTGTGCCCATAGATTATTTATGAGAGATACAGTGCTTGCAATCTCTTTAGGGTGATATTGCAAATAGAAAATTTTAAATATAGGAAATAATCTTAAATGCGGGTATTGTACGCGTGTACGTGCGTACGTGCGTGCATGTATGCGTGCGTGTTTGCGTACTTGTGTGCGTGCGTGTTTGCGTGCGTGTGTGTGTGCACACGTGTATATGTGTGTGATGAAAATGTTTAGAAGTATTAGTGGAAAAGTGCAATAAGACGAACATCGTAAGGATTTAGCCAATAGAAGGTTTACATAACCTTTTTCTCTATTTTTTTTTTATATTTCGCCAGGTACAAAATCGTGATGAATATGAATGATGATAAATCTCATGTTATAGAGAAACTAAATTAGGTTAGTACCAACTTACATCTTGAATAGACATAGATCGGAGAGCTCCCACTTTGAAACTGTTTAACTTCGCGAGGACTTTTTTGGGAGTATGCGAGGGAGTCTGCTGGGTGCCCGCTTCTTCCCCGCGCTCCTTAGCCCACTGCTCGTAAGCGGAAGCGCTGCAGCATTTAATGTACTCTGTCCACTTTCCATAAAGGAATCGCAGTTTTTTCTTGCTGTAAACAAACATTTAAATTAAACACACGTAAAAACTATATAGGTACTGATAGACCTCGCCTCATGAGCTAGGTAAAAGTTAAAAATTAAACTATTACTAAAAACTATTTTTATTGAAAGGTAAAAGTCTACTTTAAAGAACTGCAGAATATCGCAAGCAGAATATCCAATTTTTCCACCCTTAGGGGAGGAAGCTTATCTCCAAATTTACATGAAATCACCCCAGCACTGCTAGCATGGGCTGGGGACAAAAAAATTATCCCCCGATTATGTCCACTGACAAGAGATTAAATTATCTTGTCCTTCTGCCAAAGCACGGCAACGGGGAGAAGTATATCCTGGTTTGACATAACGAGTAGATATATATCCCCCGTCCGTAGGATGGAGCCAAATAAAAAAATATTATGGTTTTTTTTTTTGACATTTGAAAGGGACAATTTTGTCTTAGTTCATTGGACGTGGGTTTAAGTTTCTCTATCTATCTAACTCTAAGTCAATCTCCCATTTTATCTACTGTGGATATTATATCCACCGATGTGCCCATGCTCGAAGGGTGGATAAAACTAAGCGAGGCGATAAACATTTTCTCCTTTCCCCGGGGATAAAATTGTCTCCTGCCCATGCTAGTCCTGCTGATGTATTAATAAAAACCCTATTGAGTAAAAACTCCCTTAAATTGGTTCTCAATTATTGATAACTATTTAGTTAACACGTAACATATGTATAAAAAACAACATACAGTCAAATTGAGAACCTGCTCCACAGCTATAAACGGCTCTGTTTTACGTTCAGTTTTATTAATCTCATTTCGAGAAATCTGAGGTTATAGAGCCTGTACTGCATAAATATTGCAATCATTCCCCCACGCTGCTCCACCGCGTGCTGACGGACTTCACATGTCCTCGAAATTTTTTATTCCCCAGACATAGTTTCCTCAACATGTTTTCCTTCACTGCCAAGCATCATTGGCACGTTAAATTACAATTAACAATTTCATTAGTGCCAACGCGGATCGATATGGGGTAGTGGATTTCTTTACACCGCCACGCCACGGCCAAGAACGTGCCGTGGGTGTCGTTGCCTCAACAGAGGGAAACAAACCATGAGATGGACAGCAGCATCTTCCTAATATCAACTAAAAATTAAAAACTGCGGCTGTTAACCAAGCGTGGCAACTATAGCAAATATTCCCCCACGAGGCAATCTGGGGGAGTGGCCTAATGTCGTGGACTTTTGATAGGCTGTAACGGTAACGGGAATCGAAACCATATTGCTCGCGTACTGCGAAAATTATAACGAGCGTTTAATCCCTGAGCTACCACGGCTGATAGCAAGGTAGGTAGGTATTAACTCTAAATTCGTATTTACGTTGACCGCCCCAACTAAGCTGAAAATAGTTATAATAGTAGCGAATCACGGTAGTAGTCAAACGACGGATTTGAATTGACGACTTTTAAGTTACCCTTTACCCTATAACTATAAGGCGATTGTCGTTAAGTAGAAATAGTACACCACCCAACTCAAGGTGCTTCAAAGCGTTATAAAACATGTAGCGAAATATTTTATTATGAGACACCATGCATTGTCTTACGACGCAATACATACATGGTAAGTCGAGTCATGCAATAGTGATACGTGGTAGAGCTCTGCTGCAACTATATTAGTAGTATAGTTGTAGCACGAATGGGTCGGCTCGACCGGGTAAGGACCACGCTCCCACAGAATACCAGCGTAAAATAGTAACTTAAAACTGCTGTGTTTCGTATGGTGAGCGTAGAGAACCGGATACCCTTTTAGTGGAAACTAGGCATTCCATCTTAGTCCTCACGGGTGACAACGCATCTGAATTTTGATTCTTTATTGAGGATAGATTTAGATGTCTATGGGTCACAGCAACCACTTACTATCAGGTGGACTGTGTGCTAGTTTGTCACCTTATTCTACCTATAAAAAAGTTTATAAATGTCTTTCAATAAGTAATGTCCATAATCTATCTATTACAACCTGTAAAATCCACTCCTGAGAATAGGCTTTCCCACAGATTGGCTCATAAGGGTAATTTTGCCACAGTTGCCATGCTTAGCAGCAGGTTGGCAACCGAAGTTTTTTTTTTTAATTTGTTTGTGGTTTCAGTCTCCTCCAGAGGCTGAGTATAGGCATTCAGCGAGCACATGCTAACCAGTGTTCTTGGAACTATACCGAGGGGAGTAGGACTTTATGATAATTTTCGTCATTAGTAGATATTTTACTGTGATGTAATTAATATTTCATTAATTATGTATTGTAAATAAATGGATATGTAAATAGGTGGTCTGATAGCTGAGTGCCAAAGAGTAAATAAATATGTAAGAAACTACCGGAAACGAGAGCTATTAGAAACTAAATTCTCTCTGGAAATGAAATATTAGTTAAAATTATAGTTTTTTACGTAGTAGAGCCATGCTGCAGCTATTATATGGTTGTAGCACGAATGGGTCGGACCACGCTCTCACAGAATATCAGCGTAAAATAGCAGATTAACGCCGCTGTGTTTCGTATGTTGTGTAGAGAACCTGAGACCCTTTTTACTGAAAACGACTCATTCCATCTTAGTCCTCAGGGGTGACAACGCATCTGCATTTTGATTCGTAATCGAAGATAGATGTAGATGTCTATGGGCTACAGCAACCACTTACCATGAGGTGGTCGTTTGTCACCCCTATCCTATAAAAAAAAATTGAACGCAATATACCAGTAAAATATACTAGGCACTTGACAACTGCATAAAATAAATGAGATAGATATTCACACGGTTCAGTTATTATAATAATTAAATACTGTGGCTCGTAGCCTATCGCCACTCACTATATGAAGAAGCTTAAGGTCGCTCAGTGAGCTATGAAGAAGGTTATGCTCGGAGATCTTCAGGAGACTTCATAATGCAGATATGCGCAGAGTAACCGACATAGCTCAACGTATCAGTAAGCTAAAGTGGTATTGACTGGCCACATAGCAGCATAGCACAAAGGACCGACTACCTACGGAGAAGAAACCGACTACCAATGTGGCAGCCTCGTACCGGTGATCTAAGTGCAGAGCGACTCCCCACGAGATAGAGTGGCGGCCTGGTAAAACATGTAGAAAGTCGATGAATGCTGACTCAAGACCGTGTTGTGTTGCATTCCTTGGGGGAGGCCAATGTTCAGTAGTAGACTTACACTATAATGATGATGATCAATACAAGTAGAACTTACTTAGCATCAGTAATGAACCCGTCAACTCTATGAAGGTCACGGTTGTTAAACCCTGCCGGCTTGAACACGAGGTTGGCTTTAAGTGCAGCGCCCCCGTGGCAGGTGACCTCCATGGCGCCGTACTGCTCGATCCAAAGCTTTCCCACGATCACGTTGTGCACGACGCAGTTCACATTGGTCCAAGTGTATGCTTCGCCCCACCTGCGAAATTATCGTTTATACAAATATAGTACTTGAGGGTAATATGGTCATCCGGTTAATATGGTCACTTTCTTATAACTCAAAAACTACAGCCTTATTTGCAAAAATGACTCTGTGATACGTTATCTCTTAATCAGATATTCAAATAATAAAGAGTGAAAAGAGCTTTATCGACGCCATTTTGACATTTTATACTATAGTAAATATTTTAGTCGATTTTAGTATTGGGTTATTATAGTTATATATATAATTATAGTTATATTTTTTGAAGTTCATTTTTCGAAGTGTTTCTAATTGTTACCAAGGTTTGTTTGCTATTTTTTTCTTAATTTATTAGTTATAGTTTACGACATTATGTATTTGTTTCTGTCTGCCTCCTAGTTTTGGTTTTATAGGGCGGCAAAGCTTAAGGTGACCATATTAGCCTCACGTACCTTACAATTATATTATATTAAAGTAAACTGTACAATTGCAACGAGGAACTCTATGATAGTCCTCATGAGTAACAACGTATCGCCATGTTGATTCTTAATCTAAGATTAATGTAGTTACCTATGCGCTACAGCATCAACTTAGCACTGCAGCTATAAAATGGTTGTAGTATGTATGGGTCGACTCTACCGGAGGAGGACCATGACATCGCAGGGTAAAATAGCAGTTCAATGCTAGTGTGTTTTATATAGTGAATGTAGAGGATCGAATACCATTGTCATTAAAAACGAGGCATTACATCTTAGTCTTAAGCAGTTCTAAGAGACGGACAACACCTGCATTTTAATTCATAATCGAAGATGTCTATGGGCCATAGCATCTACTTACCCTCAAGACTACATGCTTGTTTGTTATTCTTACTTCTATATATGAAAATATAGATTTACCAGTGGCGTAAAAAATCAACCTATATCGTTTTTAAAATAAGAGTCAGTTATAATTTAACTCTTATTAACACAGAATATATAGCAGTACTATTATATGATATGTGCTCTTATCCTAAGGACAAGACTCTTGAAACTTGAAAGAGGCTTCAGAAATATCTTTTTTTTATAGGATAGGATGACAAACGAGCACACAGTCCACCTGATGGTAAGTGGTTGCTATGACCCATATAGACATCTACATTTATCCTTAATGAAGAATCAAAATGCATATCCGTCATCACCCGTGAGGACTAAGATGGAATGCCTCTTTTCCAGTAAAATAGGTCTTCTGTTCTCTGCACTCACCATACGAAACACAGCAATGTCAAAATGTTATTTTGCGCTGGTATTCTGTGACAGCGTCGTCCTTCCCCGATTGAGCCGACCCGTTCGTGCTACAACTATACTACTGATATAGCTGCAGCATGGCTCTACCACGTACAAAATGTCTAGTTGCCTACAGTTGTTTGGTTACATACAATATATCAAGTTGATAATTTTACTTTCAAATTAAAATACTTATTAGTCAACAATTTATTTTAAATAAAATAAAAGCGACCAAAGTAAGAAGGTAAGTATATTTTTTTCAAAATGGACACCAGTTCTGCATATACCTTGTTACATTCGATGGAAACATTTTTTCGTTTTCGAACGTAGTCGCTACATCTCGCGGGTTTGTAATCTACCTATTCCACGTCCTTTTTAATATACTTTTATTAGCTTCGCGTGTATCTATTTACCTATGTAACGGAAACTTAATGTAATTTTCACCTTATAGACAGCTGCTTGACTAGAAAATTGGTACTTATATCAAGGACCAATGACAATACAATAGTTTTATAAATTTATCCTGGTATCATAATCAGGATGACCAGGATAATTCTTTCTAGAATCATCACAGCTCACGATCAATGCGGGTTTTTTAAGTTTTCTTAAACTTTGAATTTTGAATACCAGCGTGAAGTAGAGGTTTACCTCTGCATTTCGCTTGGTAAGTGCAGGTGGCCAGAGGCCCTTTTTACTGGAAACGAGGCATTCCATCTTAGTCCTCACGGGTGACAACGCATCTGCATTTTGATTTGTAATAGAGGATAGATGTAGATGTCTATGGGCCGCAGCAACCACTTACCATCAGGTGGACTGTGTGCTCGTTTGTCACACTTATCATATAAAAAAAATTTGGCATTCAATCTTAGTCCTCAGGGGTAACAACGTATATACATATTAAAAATACTAGTTTAGCATTTAGTTCATCCTTAAAATGACTTACCTTGGCAATTCAACAGTGACGTGCCCTTTAGGCTGTATCTCTACACTCTTTCCACAAAACTTGAGCTTTGGGTGCACGGAGCCGTGAAACACGAAGTGCGGGCTGTCCGCGTGGAACGCCGACACTGGCGGATGATGTGAAACCTGGTGTAAACGAAGACTACGTGATAAAAACATGGACATGTAACTCGGGTTCTGCCTTTAATGCTAGTCGCTAGAAATAACAGCGTGAGGCACCCTTCAGGTCTGATGAATAAAATATAGTATATGATGAATGAAATAAATTTATTAGGTGATAGGACTGTTTTTCTGCCTAGGGTATCGATGATAGGAATTCTTACCTATTTCTGCCGCTAAGCAGCTGCGTTCTGGTCTAAAGGGTAGAGCCATGATAACTACAGACTGTAAGGCATTTCATCTTAGTCCTCAGATGTGAGCGAGCAATTGTAGCCATTTTGCTTGAAGAAGTGAAGAAGTAGCAAGCGTCCTTGTAGCGATACGTCCCGGCTTCGCACGGGTGATTCCTGGGCCTCAACGACAGCGCTACCTACCGGATCCAATTGTAAGCTTGACGAATAGCAATTGATTTTTGTATATTATAGATAAATATAGAGAAGATATAATATGTGTTTCAGATATATCTAACATACTCTCTGTTAAAAGTAGAGGTGGGTTGTGTCCAGTAATCGATATGATTAAGTAATTTTCTTCTTTTTTCATATGAAATTCCACTTTTGTCATATCAAATACTGCTTTGCCTTTGCATTGTTTTACTTGGTAATTTCGAAGGCTTCAAGGAATTAATAGGTTTTACCGCGTAGTAGCTGATTTACATCGATACAGATGCTAGCGCCAGCATCACTGTATTCGTGGATTCGACATCATTAGTTTTTTTTTACACAGTTTCTCCAAACTGAACAAGTTTATTTTAATGTAATTTTATTACACGTATAGTATATGATGTATTACGTATAGTATATTGATTATTAAATGTTTTACAGCAATATCACTTCTGTTGAGGGAGGGGCCTGGTGATCCCATAGCACAGGGAAACCTAGTTTGGGCACCAGTCTCCCACCTAGATCTTATTTAGCTAATATTTATAGCTGTTATTTAGTTGTATAGTTCATTGTTGTTTCTTGTGATGTACTGATCATAATATGTGGGAGAAAATAAATACCAATTATTAATTATTATTATTATTGGTGACCAGGATATAACTAGGCTATTTGAACACCTCAGTGAAGCCTTTGATGTGACTCTAAATCGATACCGTAATGCACAGTTGGTTTTTCTGTGGGACTTTAATGCCTATCATCAGGACTGATTGTTCCCATACCAGAAGATCGACCACTCTGGGAGAGAGGCGTGGAATTTTGCCTTGTCGTTGGGGCTCTCCCAGCTGGTAAACAACTGCCAACTGCCTCGACCTTCTGCTGACGACCCATCCTGACAGGTACGATGTTCAGGTTACCTCACCCTTGGCAACTTCTGACCACTGTCTGGTGAAATCTGTGTCGTTATATTCCCCATCTAACTACGATTTCCACGGTATGCGGCAGATTTGGATGAGATACGGCATTTATTTGCATCTTATCCTTGGCGACATGCCTGTTTCTCATCTGAAGACCCGACGAGCTGCCCGGATGCCATAACCATTGTGATACGTCAAGCGCCATCGCTTTTTCTATCACTATTTCATCCCCTTTGCTGAAGTGCCCATTAGTGGTAAAGCTCGCCCATAGTTCGCTCGTGCTGAAAAGCACAAGCATATAGCGTACTGGGTCGATACTCGAGACCGCAAAGCTCCGGATAGCCTTAAGAAGACAGCCTTTAACCAAGCCATCAAGTCTTGCAAAAAGGCATTACGGCAAGCCAGTTTCCACCACATTAAACGCATCGGTACAAAGCTCTCTGTCAAACCATCTGGCAGTAGAGCATTTTGGTCTCTCGTCAAAGCGGTTAAAACAAACTTCTGTCGGCCTACACTGCCTCCGCTGGTAAAACCAGATGGCTCAATGGCGCATGCACCTGAGGAAAAAGCGAACTTATTTGCTTCTTTTTTTGCTTGCAATTTGCGCCTGGACAGTAGCTACAGCATACCACCACTATTACTTCACTGCGGTACCTCTTTGTCAGAGGTCCGTATCACCATCAAGGAGGTTCTTAAACTTGCAAAGTCTAGACGTGAACAAAGCTAGTGGACGTGATGGAATACTAGCCATAGTTCTAAAGGTCGGTGCACCTGAATTTTTTCTTGTTCTGACACGCTTGTTCCGCCTCTCATTCAGGACCAGTCCAGAATAGTACCCAAAATCTTGGAAGCTGGCCAGTTTGCAGCCTGTACCTAAAAATACCGACACTGGCAACTATCGGTCAATTTCAATTACCTCCATACTCTGCAAGATTATGGGGCGTGTATTGAACGCCCCGTCATGGTATACCTATAGCAAAAAAATCTCCTCAGTGAACGCCAGTGCGGTTTTCGCCGAAATCGATCAACTGGGGACACTCTAGCGTATGCCACTCACATATGGGGCGAAGCCCACGAGAACAGTGGTGAAGCACTTGCTGTTTCCCTCGATGTTTCGAAGGTCCTTGACAGGATTTGGACAGCTAGTCTATGGAGCAATCTTTCAGCGTATCCCCTGGCCTGATTGACTGAGTGAAGGACTTTTAGAGTGAACGGTTCCTCCGGGGCTGTCGTCAATGGCTGCTCATCCGATTCTGTGGCGACTAACGCCGTTGTTCCTCAGGGGTCCGTTCTCTCCACAACTCTCTTCCTGCTGCATATAAATGATCTGCTCATTCCCGGTATCTATGGGTGTGCAGACGACAGCATATTTGTGGCGAGATACCAACCAAGCGCCCGGGCCAGTCGGTATCAAATCCAGTCAGAAAGAGAGGCTATGGTTCAGCGTGTGAATCTCACACTACAGGCAGTCTCCGAATGGGGCCATGCCAATCTCGTGAGATATAACGCCTCCAAAACACAAGCTTGTCTTTTCACCGCTAAAAAGAGCCCGCTCACCCTGGCTCCTACTTTCAGGAATGTATTCTTGGAGTACACTGACCGCTTTCAGTTGTTAAGGGTTTAATTTTCTCCGAATCTCAACTAGGGGCGGTTCATTGAGTCCACAGCCAAGCAGCCGCAAGGAAATTTTCAGTTCTTGCAAGGGTGCGGCGGTACTTCACGCCGGGGCAGCTTCTTACCTAATATAAAGCGCAAGTCCGGTCGTGCATGGAGTACTGCTGTCGCATATGGGCTGGTGCTGCAAAATGCCACCCGCCAGCGTTGGACTCAGTGGAGAGACGTGCTAAGAGGCTCATTGGTGACTTTGATTTGGTTGAAACCAATCTTGTCAGCCTCGAGCACAGAGTAACCAGTCTCTCAGTATTCTATAGGATGCATTTCGGTGAGTGTGCTCAGGAATTACACACTTTAATTCCTCCCTCTTTTTCACCATCGGACAACCAGGCGGTCGGCGGGTCTTCACCCCTTTGTTGTCGATATTCCACGCATTAGAACCAAATGGTATTCTTCGTCTTTTGTAATGCGTACAGTAAAGGAGTGAAATAATTTACTGACGTCTATCTTTCCGTCCGAATAGAATCTGGGCGTCTTCAAGGCAAGAGTGAAAAGGCTTTTGTTACATGTTTACATTGATACAGTGCTGATCCAGCGCCGAAATCCAGTGATGCTGTCGCCAGCTACTGTATCAATGTAATATAAGCCTGAATAAATGAATATAGATACTTTAGAACGAATGCGGAAATCATTGTCAACGAGACCCACAATCACGTAGTTTTCAAATCCTCTAAAAGTAAAAAAAAATGTCCATAGCCTAAAGTGGACCTAATTTTCTCGTAAATTCGTACCTACTGTTCTACTGTTCGAATAATATTAAAGCTATAAGAGTTTTTAAAGCTTTTAAACGTGTCGGCTACTGTTCTAACATTTAGCAGCTATTATATATGTACTTTTATCTTCAGTCTATAATAAAAAAAAAAACTTTCATGCTTTGCAAACACGATTCATTATTATTTTAATTCATAACAACTTATCGAGAATCCATCACTAAACAGGCCGCCCATACGAATTGCCTCGGGGGGGACACTTGCTAAAGTTACCACACTTCGCAGGTGGGTTAGTTTAGGTGGTTTCCTAAAATTAAAAAATTAAAACTCAACCAGATGGAAGCCCTCGGCAGGGGAGGCCAAGGGTTAGGGAAGGGAATGGTTAGCGGAAAGTGAAAGAAACTGGTCGACGATGTGAGCGGTATTGAGTATCACATTATTATTATTACGGTGGAATCTCGATAACATCCTCGGCTAGACAAAAAAAATTGCCATTCCCTTCCGCTGAACCCCTAAATACGCGGTATTTAGTCTGGAACTCGAACAAAATGTTATTTACCTGCGAAGTATTGATAGAACATATTTATATACTCTATAACTCGAATTTCAAAAAGTAGACTCCGTAAGTTGAAGTTAATAAAATATAACGACGTCTTACTTAGAATTCTCCAAACAAATAGCAGTAAAATCGAAAAGGAATGTTTGTCGCTTCTGTTCTATTGTGTGTACTTTGAAATTGAATACATTTTTATGAAACTTTATAAGTAACAATTCTGTGTACATTATGTTTTTTCTTTGGGAAAACATCTCGAAATTCTTGTTAAGTCGAAAACTCATTAAGGCGAGGTGAATAGACGACTTTTATGTATTATATATATATAGGGGGTGAAGCAGATGAAGTAAGGGACGAGTAGTCCCGCCCACTGCGGGGTGCACCGCATGAATCTTGCCGACGCTCGACGTAAAATGTACAATTGGTCCAGCGCGCCGTTGTCCGCCTTCGCACCGCGTTTCCGCGATGACTGGTGGTTCAAATCCCATCAGACATATATTTTGTATTCGTATTTTTAAAATGTTTCTTCATTTATTATCGTTGATATTTGTTGAAATTTTTAACATTTCACTTTATACACGTTGTGTCATTAACATTTGAGATTCCACTGTATTGAGTTAACTTAGACTGAAGATGGCTGCCCATCGAAAACGTAACGAAAAACGAAATCCACGGGTGATAACGGGTCTTAACTGTGTAACAGTGAAATTTGTATTGCTGTAAATCATATAGGGCCACAATTTATTTATAGGATAATAGTGATAAACATGCACACAGTACATCCAGTAAACTATGAGTGGATTGTAAGTAATTAATACAAAATTTTATCTAAGTCGTATACATATTATATACAAGAATTGTTCATTTAATTATAGAATTTTATATTTTGTTTTTTACTATAAATTATTGTAGTGTATTGTATAGTTAAAAAGATGGTTACTATAATTGTGACTTAAATAACGACTAGCAATCCGCCCCGGCTTCGCACGGGTGATTTATGGACCTCGACAGCAATACCACCTTCCGGGTCCAATTTTGAATCTAAACCATCCAGGGACTTACCCAAACACACATAAAAAATGTCATCACAATTGGTCCACCCGTTTAGGAGTTCAGTGACAAAAACATGTACAAAAGAATTATATATTAAAGACGTACCTGTTCACATACTGCGCGGAACTCGGGCCGCTCGAGCTCATAAGTTTCTCCAAGTAGAGGATTAAATGGCTTGCCGAGTCGCTCCCAGTTGGAAGCCAGCGCGCTTACGGCGAAAGCTGTCAACAAGACCTAGTTAATGATTTCTTGAATTCATTTCTTCTTACGCGAATACTACAGTAATTTAGACAATTTTTATGGCTTTAAGCACGTTTATTTTTACTTATTCTACATTCCTGATATTTCGAGTGCTTTGCAGCACCCATTGACACGGCGGGATCGATGTGTTAGAAACCTTGAACTGCATTATGTCTTGATGTTACACCAAACCCGGGCCACCTTCAGTTTTTTGTTATTTTCAACCGACTTCAAAAAAGGAGGAGGTTCTCAATTCGACTGCATTTCTTTATGTTTGTTACCTCTGAACTTTTTTCTAGGTGAACCGATTTTGATGATTCTTTTTTTTTAATTTGAAAGCTGGTGCTTCTCATATGGTCTCATATAAATTATAATTTTAGCAAGATCTGACCAGTGACCAATAGTTTTTCAGTTATCCTTAATAATGCGTATTTAATTGACTTCGACTACATTCACAACAAGTCGGTTGTACCAAAATTTTAAATTTTACCACTTGTTTTTTATTAGTCAAATCAGAGTAACATAGTCCAACAGCTCAGTTAATTAAAGAGGCAATAGATCGTCCAGAAAATCTTTTATGCCCAGGCGTAAAATATAAACACTGGCGACGGAACACACGTTTTTTACATGGTAGAGCCATGCTGCAGCTATATTAGTAGTAGGTATAGTTGTAGCACGAATGGGTTGGCTCGAACGGGGAAGGACCACGCTCTCACAGAATGCCAGCGTAAAATAGCAGCTTAACGCTGCTGTATTTCGTATGGTGAGTGTAGAGAACCGGAGACCTTTTTTACTGGAAACGAGGCATTACTTCTTAGTCCTCACGGGTGACAACGCATCTGCATTTGGATTCGTAATCGAGAATAGAAATAGATGGCTATAGGCCGCAGCAACCATTTACCATCAGGTGGACTGTGTGCTCGTTTGTCACCCTTATCCTATAAAAAAAAGACAGCATCAAAAATGCGAGACGTATGATACTGCAATCGTCACTCAGCCTGCCAAGAACCAATTTCTCCTACAGGATCTCATCTTAGTGGTAATCTGTGGTGCACCACAGCACTGGTTATCGATCAGTACTTCGATAAGGCTTGTTTATCGCTCCGTGGACCAGGTTTCATTTTTATTAAAAGTAGACGGTACAAGTCTTTGTTGATACAAACTGTCGATATATAATTTCAAACTCGCTCTTTCACCATATTTTTTTTTACTTATTATAAGTCAGTGCTTGACCACAATCCCACCTGGTGGTAAGTGGTGATACACCCCTAGATGGTAGGTAAATCGCACTGTCTTAGCGTAACAAAAGCCTATTCACTCTTGCCTTGAAGACGCCCAGATTGTATTCGGACGGAAAGATTGACGCCGGCAAATTATTCCACTCCTTTGCTGTACGCATTACAAAAGTCAAAGCAAACTGTTTGGTTCTAATGCGTGGAATATCGACAATAAAGAGGTGAAGGCCCGCCGACCGCTTGGTTAATTATGACCTTTTCTGCCGACTTCCAAAAAGCAGACGGTACTCAATTCGACTGTATGTTTTTTATGTGTGTTACCTCATAACTTTTTACTTGGTGAACCGATTTCGATATTTCTTTTTTTATTTGAAAGCTGCTACTTCTCATGTGGTTCAATATGAATTTGATCAAGGTCAGACCAATGGTTTTTGAGTTATTCTTAATAACTTATATTGACGTCGGCTGTACAAAATTTTTAATTATAATAGAGTTAATTTAGTAGGTGGGAGGACTCCCTTTTTGCCTCGTAGTTCATCTGGGTAGATATCAAACTTTAACTATTTCTACCGCCAAGCAATGCTTGTACTGCAGTGTTCGCTCTGAAGGGTGTAGAGAGTCAGTATAAATATAGGCTGAGAGGCGTTTCATCTCAGTCCTCAGAGATACAAAGCATCTGTACCCTTCTTTGTTTGAAATTGGCTACAGGTATCCAATCCAATCACCCAATTGCTATAGCAATATCGACGATATCTTTCACTAGAGAAAATTTACGCCTACTGGGCGGAAATTTACTTTGGGCGCTGAAATGTTTAGCGATGTTAATTCATTTAAAACCAGCAGTAATACACAGTTAGAAAATACATTTGTTGCAACGTAAACATCCATTATTACTAAGCCAAGACATTATTCTAAACTAGCCATGTTTTAATTAAAGTATATAATAGTAATTACAGTAAATGAGAACTCTCCATTATATCAAGTCACATCGACAGATTTTTTTAATAGGATAGGGTGACAAACGAACACACAGTCCACCTGATGGGAAGTAGTTGCTGTGGCCCATAGACATCTACATCTATCCTCGTTTGCGAATCAAAATGCAGACGCGTTGTCACCCGTGAGGACTAAGATGGAATGCCTCTTTTTCAGTAAAAAGGGTCTCCGGTTCATTGCACTCACAATACGAAACACAGCAGTGTTAAGCTGCTATTTTACGCTGGTATTCTGTGAGAGCGTGGTCCTTCCCCGGTCGATCCGACCTATTCGTGCTACAACTATACTACTAATATAGTTGCAGCATGGCTCTACCACGTACCAAATTTTACTACTAATTCTTTCCATAATACTGTAGTACCTTCGAATTTATAAGTAAGTTTTTAACTGGCAACATTTCTTAATACGCTAGCATCCTACTTGTTTATGTTTCTCTGTCTGCCTCCGCTTTGTGTAAAGTGAGAAGAGCTGTGCAAATAAACAAAGTATTAATCCATGGACTGCTGTAACCACTTATGATCAGGTGGACTATAAGCTCGCTGGAGACTTCAGTTTTAAATACAAAAATGGCCAAGCTTATCTTATCCGAAGCAAAGTTGATTTGATAATGACGCACATTGAGTTATATGTACTACGTACTACAGAAGCCATTCTAAACAAAAAATGTGCACTACCCATGTCTTCGCGCATGCGCGGGAGATAGTAGAGTCCCGCATGCGCAGTTGATTTAAGCGCATTGCGCCTGCGCGGTCAGTTTTTAATTTAATACCTTAATTTGAAATCATGTATGTTAGAGCTCCATGGCATGTACATTGAAACCACACTAAATGTCACACTGTACGGATTGCAGTACCGTTCAGTTGAACATAGTGTATGCGAAATCTAGTACGTAATACATATATATCGATGATGACGCAGCTTCTAATCTCACCAGCAATGTACTCCATCCTGGCGACGGGATTCGTCTGTTCGGACGCCATCCGGAGCAGGTGAGCATACTCGAGGTACTCCAGCATACGCTGCAGGAACGACAGCGGTTCGTTGAACACCACCGGCATCGTGATCTTCGACAGTTCCTTGCCCACGCAATTCTTCAACACCGACCAGAGGGAGAAGTCGCCGCGGCTGAATTGTGCGACCGGAAGAGATGTCCTGGAAAAAAGTAAAACATGTTTTCTTCTTTTTTAATCTAGAATTACATTTTATTCAAATTACACTATGATTTTCTTCTGTATTTTTTATTAAAAATCATAGTGTAATAATAAATAATGTAGTGTAACGGGACTTGGAAAAATGCACATGGAAAAACATCCAGACCTAGAACAACTAATAATATAGCAACTCAAAATTATAATTTATCAATAATATAGTCATAATTAATAAATTATAACAACTCAAAATAACGAAAAACTGAAGGTTCCTAACCCGATTGCCAACCGTGCCAACTATGGCAAATATCCTTCCCATTAGGCAATTTATGGGACGGGCCTATCTTCAGCAGTTGATTTTGATAGCCTGTATCGAATGAATTAAAAAATATATTGGAAGAGACTATGGTTAAGCAGCAGACTTAAAAGAGATGCTGATATATATGTGTACATATGTGTGTGTGTGTGTGTGTGTGTGTGTGTGTGTGTGTGTGTGTGTGTGTGTGTCTTTTTATTAATAATTTATTAAACTTTAAACCATGGACTTTTTCGAGGTCCATGCTTTAAACTTTTAGTACACACAGAAAAATATATTTTATGAAATAGCAATAAAATTAGGTAAAACACTAGAGAGGGCATTCTGTTCTCCTTGCTAGACTTTAAAATAGCCTCTGTTACTGAGTTTCAGTCCCTTACCCCTTTTTATAGAAGTCCACAGTCCACCTGATGGTAGATGGATGCTGTGACCAATGGACACATACATTAATCATCTGTTAAAAAAATCTCTGAGGGATAAGATAAAATGCCTCTACACTCACCATACGAAACACAGCAGCATTGAGCAGCTATTTTACGCTGGTATTCGGTGAGAGCGCGGTCCCTCCCCGTTCGAGCCGACCCATTCGCGTAGTGCTATTATTTATTCTGTGTCCGTACTACAACCATAATATATCTGACCGATTTATAATGTAGATAATTCTATCACTATAAAAAGCCTACACCTGCTTGATTCAAAAAGTCGGAGTATCTGAATACTGCGTCGTAAGTCATATATTGCAATAATAATCGGCAATAACATTTTTATAAACACTCAAATGGCTTATAGCGGAGCTCAAAAATAACGAGATCGCGATATCGTCTACAATTGTGAACAGATTTTGATGATTGTTTTTTTTTAAGAATAAAAAATTGCATCACAAAGGTTAGCAAAATAGGGGATTGCTATGTATTTGCTATGCTAATGAATTTTTAATGGAGCTATTTGCAATGATTGTTATATTCCCGAGTCCGGTCAAAAGCTAAAAGAATATCAATTTTATTCCGGGTACTAGTGATTATCAGTGTCTTCCTGCATTCCAATACCAATACCAACACTGCAATAATTTGATTAAATCTGCAAAGATGAGCCTGTGTTTACACTGCATATTACGACACAATTAATCCAGCAGTTTACAATTTTTTTGCAGGACAAAGGATATCAAGCGGCCGCTACATAAGAAGTTCGCCAACATGCATTGGGGTAGCGCGGCGGACACTTCCTTGCCCTAAAACTCTCCCAGAAATGAGGGGAGGCCCAGAAGAGGGACGCATATAGGCTGTAACTAAAAAAGACCCACATCGCTTCCCTTCTACGTTTCAATCGTCATTCTTAATGCCGGTGAGGCACTTAAAACGACTGAAAAATATAGAGAGTGACTCGCAAGAGTTACCTGTACGAGGTCGGTCTAGCGCAATCAATACTCGAGCATCGTGATTACTCGGGGACGACACAAATTGCTGCCGGAGGCTAGGGCTAAATTACCGTTTAATGTGGACTCTTCAATTGGTAACAAATATCACGCGTAGTTAAGGTTTGTGGCATTTGAGGTTAATATGTCTAGGTCAAAGTATAAAGTTCAATTCGTTTGGCAGTAGCGCAGTGGCTCTTGATGCTTATGCGGGATGCTGATTCGATTCCGGTGCAGTAGCATCATGGCAGTCAAATAATAATACAGTGATTGTCCGTTTGTCGTTGTCCAATTTATGTAAAACGCTTTCGTGATACCGAGATACTAGGTGGAGGGAGGGGTTTATAACATATAACTGTTATAAATACCTTATATATTATATCAACACGAAATTACCTAGCTTCTTTCAGATTCTTGAAAACGTCAACTTTGAGCATCGCATCATTAAACATAATAGGAGTTGATCTTATGATATTTTGGTTTGACTGCACCGTTGATCGAGTGGTTGTAAGCGTGACTGCGGTCCCGGGTTCGAATCCCAGGTTAGAGTCGGGCCAAAATCATAACGGAATAGAGAGTGCACACAGTCGTGCACTAAAATCCTTTTAATGCTATCCTTCCCATGGTTAATCTCCTTTGGGACAGGGTTGGAGGATATTATTATTGGTTTACAGGCCATCTCAGCATTGGACTCCTTTTAGTCTTCTTACATATTTATCAGCATTTCCTTACTATACTTACTATACTTACAAGGTCTTAGAGCTCTCATTAAATTTCATGGCGACGAAAAAAAGCCACGTAAAATCGGCTAAATTGCGCGGATACTTATCTTCTCCATATTCTCTCCGAAATTAGAGAGAGATAGAGATATGCTACAACCGTTACCTTAGAGTAATACTTACTTTAAAAAAGAATGCTCTGAAAGACTGCACTTTTATCCCTAAAATTATTAGAGTTTGAAAATATAGCTCATTTCGCTAGTGCGTGATCTAATTAAAACCAGGCCCTGTCCCTGAAGCACCTCAAATATAAATTTAGGGCTCATTAAACCATTATTAAAGGCATGTAATTTTAAGACAAGACTTTTATATAGAACAAGGCTGACAAACGAACACTTCACCTGATGGTAAGTGGATGCTGTGGCATCTACATCTATGATCAATCTATACATATAATAAAAATGTAAATAGCAGATGTCTGTACATTTTATATTTTTGTAATAAAAGTGATTGAGGGGTACTAAAAATAAGTAATTAAATAGATTTCTACCATTTTTAGAATTTTTTGTCTGTCTGTCTGTTTGTTTGTTAACGTATCACGTATAAAGTACTAATTTATATCACAAGAATTGTTAAAGAAATTACAAAGTGTATCTTCGGGTTATATTTAGTCTTTATTTCATTAAAATCAGTTTATTCCATCAAAAGTTATGATAAATATTCTGAAGTATGGTTAGGGAAGTATAGGTACGAATTTGCTCAACGGTGGCTTTGGTCGAGTCATCAAGTGCATTTTAAACTATCATATCATAAATCATAACTAAATGATGTATAATAATGTTCTATAATGATATAATTATGTATATCTAAAACGCAGTACACAAAAGTATTAAAGAACGTATTAAATATATTATACAAAAATATATTAACCTTATTAACTAAATCTAAAAGTACAATAGTTAACCAATTTCATCGATAGATGGTGGTGTTGTGCAAATGTAATTCAAAGAGGCAAGTTGTGGTTTTTTTCCTGTAGATGAGTTTTCATATTTACTGATAATCTTTATACAAAGACATTTAAGTAGTTAGTATACCTATATATTTAAATCTCTTTGTCTTTATATTACTCGCTGCCCTACTGCGTGTTGACAAACTCAATTTATTCTTTACCGCCGAGTACCTACTCTATGTGGTAAATCAAATTTTAAAAGAGCTATTAACAATTGCGTTGGTTTTGTCGACTATCAAACTTTATTTTTTGCTTACTGTGCTGGCACTGATTTATAAGTTCTTTTACGTTTTATATAATGTATCAATCGCGTCAATTAATCTCTTTTATTTTTAGAATTGATGTTAGCAGCGCCATCTCTCTTTAAATCTATACATATAATAAAAATGATGATAACATGTTATGTCTATTTCTGTACATTGTATAGTATATTTATGTGGCTAAAATCATTATGAGGAACTGAAAATAATTCAATAAGTATATTTTTATAATTTTTAGAATTGTTTGTCTGTCTGTTTGTCTGTTTCTTTATGAACGCATCACGTCTAAAGTAAACATCTTTTTTTTTTTCAAAGAAATCATTAAGAAAATCATAAAGCGTATCTTCGAGTTACATTTAATTTTTGTTTTATTAAAATTGGTTAATTCTATCGAAAGTAATGATTATTATTTTCAAATGTAGGGTTGAATTTGTTCAATGGCGCCATAAAATCTCAGAAATAGTAATAAAAAGATTTGTTTGTAAAAAAAGTTCCATAAAAATTAATATATTTATACTTAAAACACAAAAAGAGATTAAAAAAAGGATGTTTTCTCACACAAAGCACGTAATAGATGGAGTTGTACAAATTACAACCTTTTCTGAATTGCGGTGTTGAGATTCTCCGCCGGTGAATCGTGTTGAGACTTACTGAAGAAATTTGTATCTACCGAAACTATGCAACGGAACCCGACCAAAAGTAACAACATTGCAACAAAATATCGTGATATTGTATATTTAATAAAATATACGCAAAATCAGTGCTGCCATTTTAGAGCTTTGTGAACTAGATCTAGAGCTTTTTTGAAATGTATAGCGCGCATTTCAAAGCTAGCACCTAGCGCTTAATCCAGCGCTTTTTGGTGTATTTAGCACACATTTCAAAATTGTAGCGACTAGCGGGTTATCTAACTCTTATAGCAGCAGTCCAGTCCACATTACCGATAATAATAATAATGACCTTTATTATTTTTTTCCACAAATAGTACATTGCAGTTTATCTTTTTTTAGACCTCTAACGTTTTGGTAGCAAAAATATTAGTTACGCACTTTTATCCTTGGCACGAAAGTTCTGACGCCTCGGTTTTATACAGATGTCTTCAGCCCAGTTGTTTGGTGACATAACACTGTCGGCAATTCTCGACGGGACTCCCAGCTTGAACGATGAGTAACGCCCCCTAGGTTTCAGTTCTTCCACTGAGCAATCATTGTTTCCACTCATAGAGTGGAGATGAGCACGCACCTCCTCCACTGTGGCACCCTCTTGGACATAGTAGAGATGCAAGTACT